CATGTCGCCATACCGCATCAGCACAGAGATGTAATTGTCAATTCAAATCCAATAGTAGAAGAGGTAGTAAAGGTATTAGAAGTAATTGGAGACGTTAGGATTAGAAGATATTATTCAAGAAGTATGATTTAATGAGAAAAGTTTAGAAAGTCAAAACTAGAGTTGTTGAAGAATCCAGAAGATTAGGATTTGAGAGAACACAAAGAATAAATGCACCGGAGCCATGTCATTCAAGGTCTCTAGCCATCGATTATTATCATCTCGCGGGCCCCAACCAGGTAGTCGACAATTACCGACATGGCTAAGTCCATTCGTCAATGATTTCATGGGTTTCTGCCATGTTTTGGTTTGGCCGTCCCTAACTTTCTTCCAACCTATTCCTACACTACAAAACAAAGCTCGTCGAGGCAGTCAGTGGTTAGTCATACGTAACACATGTCCCAACCACCTCAACTGATGAAGTTTCATTACTTCATCTATTGATCTGCCATTCTTACCTAGTACCCGTTTCCTAATAACAGCGTTGCTCACTCGGGTGCTAGGTACACAAGGTACTTCGAATCCGTTGGCCAGACACCATCAGTAACAACTTTACTGTGCGAGAAAACAAACTTGATTCCAGCGGAGGAATAAATCAGTTAGCAGCACAGCAAGCGGATAGGACACATAGTAACGAAAAGCATCGATCTGCGTCACAAGACAAGCCGTCACCTGAAATCCTCAAGGTCAAAGCGGAAGATGTAGACCAAGAAATGGAGATAGACATGAGAAGAATGAACAACAATTTCAAAACGGATAAGACACATAGTAAGGAAAGCACCTGACTAAGCCACAAGACAAGCCTGCACATAGAATCCTCAAGGCAAAAGGAAAACTGGAAGACCAAGAAATGGAGATGGACATGAGAAGACTGAACAATAATTGGATAGAACTGGAAAGTAGTGTCCAAGACGGAGTAAGTTGGAGTATACTAGTCAGAAGCTTCTGCTCAATTAGGAGTAACAGGCGTAAGTAAGTCAAGATGAATCTGATTTCAGGCGCAAACACTTGTACATTTGCTTATAATCATTTACAATATTATTTGATACTTTTTTAATTCGTATATCATATGTACTTTTAGAATCAAAGTTTCTGATTATTCATAATAAATTAATAATGTACATTTCTACTTTCGGAATGTTTTTTTTTTATTTTTCCTTAATGAATAATAATTAGGCATGTAATTATATATTCCATTGTATTGTATTGAATTGTATGAAATTGAATTGAATTGAATTTCTATATATTCAGTTTATTCTATTTCATATGTTGATTTATGAATTCAAATCTGTTTTTTTTTAAAAAAAAATTATTTATAAATTCATTTGTTTTATGTGAATTTGTTAGTTTGATTTTTTCTTCCAAATTTTAAATGAAATCATTCACATAGATAGATAAACTTGTATGTAAGCCGCTGTTATGGGTATTGCTCGTATATCATGGGACAACCGAGTAAGCAATGCTGTAGTTAGGAAACGAGTACTAGGTAAGGATGGCAGATCAAAAGATGAAGTGGTGAAACTTCATCAGTTGAGATGGTTGGAACATGTGTTACGTATGGCTAAACACCGACTGCCTCGACGAGCTATGTTTTGTGATGTAGGAATAGGTTGGAAGGAAGCTAGGGACGGCCAAACCAAAACATGGCAGAAATCCACGAAGTCACTGACAAGTGGACTGAATCATGTTGGTAGATGTAGACTACCTGGTTGGGGTCCGCGAGACGAAAGTCACCGATGGTTAGAGACCTTGAATGACATGGCTCAAAATCGTTTGGAATGGCGTATGTGCATTCATTCCTTGAGCTCTCTCAAATCCTAATCTTCTAGAATCGTCAGCACCTCTACCTTTGTCTTTCTAACTTTATCTCACTGAATTATACTTCTTGATTAATATCTTCGAACCCTAGTCTTCTTCATTACCATTAATACCTCTACTTTCTTTATCACTATGGGATTTGATTTGACCTTTGCGTCTCTGTGCTCATGTGGTACGGCAACATGTACTTATGTACATACGTACGTAGTTCTACGTTGCAACTAACTGACTAACAAAAAAGTCTATTTATGACAGTTAATGGTAATAATACCCGATTGTCCAAGCTGATATAGGTACGGGTACTTGGAGGTTGAATGTTGCACAACTCAATTACTAAGCTATAAAGTATACTGTTATGTACTTTTAATAGATCACTACTTTAATGTATGTCTTATTAAAGGTTTCATTTCATTTTTTTGAATACTATTATTAACTTGGGGGAACTATAGAAATCGAGATGGAGCTAGTTAGATTTTTCACTCTAATTTTTTGGCTTCTCTTTGTGTTGGTTCATACATCCGTGACCTTGCACATGATTGTATGTAGAGTGTCCACGTCCTTCTCGTAGCGAACACATTACTTTGCGTTAACTGTGTTGGAATTCTCTGGTTCGATTGCGTTGATGTTCATCTGATATCATCGTTAATGTCTGTCGCACACTCATCGGTTGCAGCCCCTAACTAGAACGTTTAAAACTCACTGCTAAACTAGTCGCCAGTTCGAGTACAGGAGAAAAAGTCTAAAACAGATAGATAGGAGGTCAGTCAGTCAGTTACCACGTAGAACGTAGAAGGTAAACAGTAATCTATTGTTTAAGTGTTCATTGAGTAATCTTCAAATCCTTGATTCGATAGATTAACACTATTGAGTAATTACTTACTACGATGAAGCATTTATTTAATGCTTCTTTGCTTTGTTGGATCAGTACCTCAGTGGTTAAGGCGCTTGACTTTCAGCCACAAAGTCGTACATTCGAGTTATTCTCCATCGACTTTGGTTTGATCAAATGAGTAGTATCACTAGCTCTTATACTTAAAATGTGACTCAATTTTAAGTCATAAGTTAGTTAATTACAATCGGCTGACTAGTTTCATATTCTTTGTGCATTCTTAAATCCTTCTGTACAATGGGAAAAGCACAGGAATTACTAGAAGGCCTTTAACTGAAGGGAAATAATTTTTCATTGTCACATTGTTACGCCGTATTTCTTCAACTGATACACAATGTAAATAAATCTCCAAAAAGAATGAATTGTTGAGTTTTAAAATTTTGTTTGTTCTGTTTGAAATAACGGTACATTTGAATCGCCACGGACATCAGTTATCTGACATGAAATAATACCCTGACTTAAATTTTTCAAAACTGAAATTAATTCACTCTCCAGGTACTTGGATATGAACTACACTTTAATTGTAAGGGCTATTGATGCTACCAATTCGCTCACACCAAAGTAGTTGAAGTGGAGTTCAGTGGCTGAAAGTTTGATGCCTTAACCGATAAGCTACAGCTGAAATAAATATGATCTCAGTGTTTCATAGCCTTTAACATTTAAGTGTGTACAACAGATTAGACTGTGAAACTATTGTTAGGCTTTATAAACTGATAGCTGTTGTTATTTCTTACCATGAGTTAAAAAATTTCTTATTTTCTCTTTTTCTCTTAAAAAAATAGATATTATTCATCGTCTGATGATAGTGTTCGTAATCTTCATGGTCTACCTAACGGATTCAATGGACCACATGTGAATTCAACTACATCTATGATATTGAATACTACAGATTTCCAAAATAAAGACTCAAATGAATCTTCTCTTAATACTAGATCTCTTTCACCAAATCCCTGTAAGTTTATGATAATTAGAATTGTTTTTGGTTAAAGTCTGTTTTCATTCAGTACGAAGCAGTTATGAATATCATATTGTTTAATCTCTATTTTCTGATGTAATCATATTAATCATAGTGAATTACGAACACTAATCCATGTGGCTTGATTCGGTAGTCGATTGTACTTGTCTAAGGCATCACTTATCAATTAATCGTTTCTTCCATTTCAAGTGAATAAAGCCTCCTGTTTTGATGTCAGTCTCCTGAAGATTTCAATGAACACTAGATTGATAGATTCCGACCCACAAAACTCCCGATTTCAAAACTATCCACTGATTCGCTACTACTACATATATTCAGCCTCATATTCATATACTCATTTGTATCATGTAATCATGTCTGAAGTATCTGCCTCCATGTTATTAACCAATTGACCAAACAGACAGATACAACGCAGAACTTCGTACATAAGTACATCAGTTCAGGTTGCCATACCACGTCAACAGGGAGACGTAACTGTCAGTTCAAATCTAAGAGTGATAGTGATAGTAGAAGTATTAGCAGTAATGGAGAAGATTAGGGAGCGAAGATATGATTCTAGAAGTACAATTCGGTGAGATAAATTTAGAAGGAGAAAGGTAGAGATTATGAGGAATGCAGAAGCTTAGAATATTATAGAACACAAAGAGTGGATGCACCTGTGCCATTGCAAACAATTCTGAACCATGTCGTTCAAGGTCTCTAACCATCGGTAACGATCGTCTCGTGGACCCCAACCAGATAGCCTACATCTATCAACATGACTCAGTCCAGTTGTCAGTGACTTTATGGATTTGTTCCATGTTTTGGTCTGGCCGCCCCTAACTTTCTTCCAACCTACTCCTACACCACAAAACATAGTTCATCGCGGCAGTCGGTGGTTAGGCATTCGCAACACATGTCTCAACCACATCAACTGATGAAGTTTCACTACTTGATCTATTGATTTGCCATCCCTACATAGAACTCGTTTCCTAACGACTGCATTGCTTATACAGTTGTCCCAGGATACACGGGCATCCAATTGACCTTAATTATTGATAGTCACTTATAAAGATTACATTGACTTGATTTAAATTATTTCACATGTTAGCGTAAGATTACTTGACCCCGTTTATACTATCTGTCTGTTTACTTTTGAATATATTATATTGCATCCCCTATAATCAATCAATAACCATAGACATTTCAATGACAATAACTCATCATTTATTGTGACATTTACTCAATTTTTGATTAAAGCTCAAAAAAAACAAGCGATAATTATGCAATAATACAAAAAAAAACCATTCATTTGTATTGGTTGTTCCAATCTGCCCATTGATATTTATGACTAATCAGTTGATCAGTGGTCTTAGAGACCTGGGTGCGTGACCGTAGAGCCCGAGGAACAACTGCTTGAGGCCGGTCACGCACCGCCTTTTTATGAAAGGTTTGTTTAGTATTAGCTCCGCTCTTAAAAGCCCTTAGTAGGCACCCTTACCACCGAAGACGGAAATCCGTGAGGTAGGGTGAGGTGTGACATTTTTAGGGTCGACCTTTTCTAACCCTTCCTTCCTTGTGAGAAGGCAGCATCGCTGCAGATGCTGGTTGTCCGAAGGAAAGACCTTACTGCCGTCACACCCCTCTGCAGTCAGCAGTACGACTTTGCCCTCAGACCTTGAGTAGCTGTTTTTAGTCTCATGGTTCTCCATTCGACCTTCCTGGCATGGTAGGACCTGCAGGAACATATGTTCCAGCCAATATAGCTCGTCTGGGTCATTACGATTGGCAAGTCCAATCACCACGTCAAGGTAGCAGCTACGGTCGGGAGTGAAAACAACCAATACAAATGAATTGATCTTCATCCCATTAAACAAGCGAGTGGCAATCTGCACCCATTAGCTAAGTGGATAAGGCATTAGCGTTTGAAGCGTAAGTCATCTGTGAGATGTAAGTACATCCAGCTGGCGAGTCTGAAAGAGGGCGAAACGTACGTCCTAGATTCCACTGCCAGATACTAACCGCATCTGCTAATATTCATAATATTTTTTTTATACATTGACTATTCACTGAATAGTGTTTGTCTTGTCCTTAAAATATTGGTTGAATTCTAATGATCAAGTTGTCATATGTCTACTAGCATAGATAACTAGACATTTCCGGATACCCTAAGCCTAAGTTTCTTGCTAGTCTGACACTCACTGAACTATTCCTGTAAGATAATTATTTTTTGACAGTGATGAATTATCTATACCCTACATGGCTTGTTGATCAGTACTAACTAACTAACTCGAAAGATTGTATGTTTGTCATCAATTATAACTTTATGTAGATAAGGATTAACCCTAGTAGTAGTATCAAGTTACCAAATGTTGACTATTGTAGCATGATGCATAAAATTTTGGATGTAAATTTCAGCAACAAAAAGAATAGTGTAACAAACACTAAGATGATTGATATAATTAGTAGCAAAATGTATAAATTTGTGTAATATTAAACTCTAAATGAACAAAAAAAAATTGTATCAGGATATTGACAAAATGAAACTAAAGTATATTGTGTACAATTCATACATAGATAGATAATAAATTAACAAGCAAGCAAGTATGTGTTTGTAAACAAAGTACATGTTAGTGCTTTTTTCTTTTTCTACTGATTAATTAAAAAAGTTCGCGTAGACAACAACATGTTCAAATTAGACAGATTATATAAAAGTGCTTTGATTTAATATCCAGTTGGGCAGTCCATAAGGCACATCGGATTTGATACATAAATAATGTATCGATTTAAGTTCACACTATATCAGCAAATCGAGATAGTAATAGTAGTAACAATATTATTAGTAGTAGAAAAGATTAGGCTTGAAAAATATGCATAACCATCGGCTATCTTGACGAGCGATGTATTGTGGTGTAGGGAGTAGGTTGGAAAAAAGTTAGGGGGGCAAACGAGAGCATGGCAGAAATAAATAAAGTTACTGACAAGTGGACTGAGTCATGTTGGTAAGTGTAGACGTAAGTCACCGATGGTTAGAGACCTTGAACGACATGGCTCAGAATCGTTTGCAATGGTGGCGCAGGTGCATCCACTCTTTGTGTTCTCTCAAATCCTAATCTTCAGAATTCCTCATTATCTCTACTTTTCTCCTTCTAAATTTATCTTACTGAATTACACTTCTTGAATAATATCTTCACTCCCTAATCTTCTCCATTACCGCTTATACTTCTACTATCTTCACCACTATGGGATTTGAATTGACAGTTGCGTCTCTGTGCTAATGCGGTATGGCAACTTGAACTGATGTACTTACGTACGAAACTCTACATTGTGACTGATTAATATACTTTAATAAAGAAAGAATATTTATCATAACGAAATAAAGCAAATTCATTTATTTCTTAAATTATTCTCAACTGTTTACTATACCTACAAGCATAGTATTCATCATTACGATACAACAAATGTACATACTTTTCTATAAAGAAATATCTCACCTTAACCTGAGTTCAATTGTGTAGATAGATTACTATTAAAAGACTATGATACGAAAGAATTGTTTAAATTGTTTAAATGTTCACTCAGTTCTTAGGTTAAAATAAATATAAATATCTTAGAAATGCATGAAAATAGAAATTTTTATCGAAGCAAAAACGATTATGTGTAATGTAGACTAGTTGAGTAAAACTCAAAAATAAAAATGACGATATTAGTTAGTGTTGAATAAAGTCTATCCGGGTCAGTTGTTATTTTTAGCAGAAAACGGATTTTCTTTTTAGTGTAGTGGGTAGCTATAAAATAATTCGTTCATGGCTAGTTGAATTTTATATTGCTGATATTTTTTTTATACTAAAAATGCTGACTGAAGCTTTTCTACGGTTACCACCAATCTTGTGCCGCCTGAATAAAGGAAAGTCGGGCTTGGGTTTAGCAAGCCCATTCCATAGAAAACCAACTCTTTGAAAAACCGCTGATCAAAACATCTAAACTCTTCCCAGCATAGCTGAAGTGTTTTCGTTTAGATGAGTCATTACTGCTCATGGTTTAAGACGAGTTTCCTCGAAAGTCACGAGGATGACACTAACATCCGACTGGAAACAAAGAATACAGGGTACATCTAATGGATTTAAACTTTTCGGATGATCTAGCTCTTCTATCTCACAGACAGCATAACTGAAGATGAAGACGGACAATGTGTAGCATCAACAGCCTCTGTAGCAGTAGTTCTCAAAATACACAAGGAAAAAAGCAAGATCCTCTAATACAACCCGACATACACTAACCAAATCGACAGTAATCGGCAGTATCATTGATGAACTAGGTGGATCTGATGCCGATGTTAAGACACGGATTAACGAAACAATGGCAGCATGTCTACAATTGAAGAACATTTGATTTGAAAGCAACTATTTCTCAACCGATGCGTAAGTTAGAAGTTCCAACACCAACGTCAATAGGGCTTTATTGTATGGAATGGAAAGTTGAAGAACTGCGAAAGCCATCATCCACCAGATACAGGTGTTCACTAACAGTTTTCTACACCAGATCCTGCAGATTCATTGGTCAGACACCATCAGCAACAACCTACTGTGTTAGAGAACAAAGCTGATTCCAGATGAAGAAGAAATTAAGAAAGAGCGCTAGAGGTTGGGTAGGGATCACATTGTGGTAATCATTCAGCTGCTTGATATGCCAAGCCACCACATAGAATTCTAAGCCAGAATACGCAGAAGAAGACCAAGAAAGGCATCGGGCAGATTAATTGGAGATAGACATGACAAGTTAATTCAATCAGTGTGTTTCTAATTGAAGCTAAACGATGCCAATTAATTCTCTCGTCCAATCCTTACCATTAAAATAAATATTTCACAATTTCAGAATTTTCGATAATCTAGCCCAAAGCTATTCCTGTTCATTCGTATAAATATCCTCGAAATATAGCTTCCTCTTATCATATTGTGGTGCGCGCTACTTATGAGTAGTATATGATGCGAGTAAAAACGTAATGTCTGGCAACAGAAGATGGGAGAAGATCAAGAAAGGAAGAATGGGAACAACACAATGGGATTTGCATGAAACGCATGAACAGTGAAATGTCAGACAATGGATTGATGTTTGCAACAGGAACAGTCCAGTTCGTTATGATGGATTAATATTTTGCAAATTAACGATTTACGTTATGGTTTTCCGATTTTACTGAGTAACTCTGTAATTTTCGTTAAATACAATTCGGTTACCCTCACCTGTGTTCTCCTTCACTACAATATTACTGCCTCCCTACTTTTATATTTGAGAAACTAGCGTACTTGCGTGCTATGCGTGCTCTTGTTCAGAGTCTAGGTATGTAACAACAGTGTGTGCAGTTTCATTCATGTCAGTACTGATTAGGTGTTATTCCTGTATTTCTCTTTATGTATGTATCTTAGTATCGTTTATGGTACATTTTCTGTCTTTGTTAAACTTTGTAATTTTGTTGATTCCTTGTTGAAATTTCACTCATGTTTCATAGGTACTTCAACTAATAGTAATAAATCTCAACAATCAATTCCTGCTCCTCCACCACTGCCGCCCCAAACTCCTATACCCCCACCTCCACCCCCACCAATTGCCAATGTACTTGGATCAAAAACTTGGCGTCAGAACTCCACATCAATAACAACAACAACAGCAACTAATAAACCGTCCGGTTCACAGTCCGCTGCTGATAATTCTGATACTAGCGACTATGATGGTGTCAATGAATCTAGTAGTTTCGACACTCAGCTACGTATGGCCAGACAACAACGTATTCGTGCTGCTTCTGTGGCTGGTTTAGGTTCTTCTGATTCTTCATCAACTATCCCACGTACTCATGGTGTAGATATGATGACTGATCTTCAACGTGTTTTAGCAGCACGTCGACGTGCTAAAGAAGCTGAAGAGGTGAGTTCAATTTGAAATTGATTGTTACTATTCATTAAGTGCAAACTATCTAATATTATTCATTTCTAGGTATTATAAGTCCCTAGATTGACAGTTGTGATATTTTTCAAGATGTTTATATGAGGATGAGTACAAGATTTCGTTAAATTTCGGTATATCCATTTTTATGTTCAATAACATGCATCGTCTTATAATGAAAAGCTGTAATTCTATAGTACACTTCAGCTAGATTCATTATGTAATCGGATAACAAAATTCCACTGTAATCATTCACCTGACCTGCGAATTTTCGCCTACATCTTAATTTTAATCATCTGTCATTTTATAAAAATATTCTGAATTGCTATAACTCATCAAGTATAACTATGTTTTGACGTAATGTGGATGATGTTTATTCGGAATAAACCATGGACCTAGGTTTCATTTCTACGTTGTAACTGACTGACCTAGGTTTCATGTGAGACGAAGCTAGTCAGGAAGACGTACTTGCAGTCTTGAGGGTCCTGATGCTCCTTACAGGATTTGAGCGAGCCTCATACTTGACATATAGTCCAAGTTATTACCCATAAACTGTTCGAACCTCAAGTAAATACCTAAACCTCTGAGATGTATTTGAAATTGATTGATGGCGGTGTACTTGCCCTGTCTAATTCTGTAGGGTCGATCGAGCTTTATCAATCACATTGTCCTCAGCTTCAAGTAGCATTTTCTAGGTTCGAATCTTGCTATACTTACTGTGATCCAGGCAGCCGGAGAGAGAGTATATCACTAGTCTTCATACATTAAGTGTAGCATAAAGTTGAGTAATATGAATCTTGTACGTGGTAAATAAGAGTCATATCCTTTGTTAATAATAGGCTGTCACTTTATTATAAATATCGCTAACTGGAACTTATATATATTAATTCAATCTTTCTATTGTAAAGTTAGTCAAATCACTACATATTTGATATTATCAACCCTTGATACTACAAATTGTCCCATCAAAATTATCGAACATTCCTACCCTGCCATTTCCTACCACGACCTATGCTATAAAAAAAATAATCAATAAAAGGATTGTCTTGTCTGAGTTTTATTTTCATTCTGTATTGATTATTATTATGATGTTGATTATTATTAGCAGACTCAAGCAGACAATTTTCTTGCATACATCTATGTTCATTTGACTGCGTATCTATGTACGTACGTACACATACACACACACACACGTGTCCAGTCTTCCCTCATTGATTTGTACATTGGCATTGATTCTCTGTCAGACTTAATTGATTAAGGGGTTTTCGATTTGCTTTTATGCTCCTGGCTACCATATATATGTGTATTGTATATATATATATATATATATATATATATATATATATATATATATATATATATATATATATGTACATATATACTGTTATAATTGTCAAACAAGAACAACATATATATATGACCAATGTGTAGATATTACTCACTTTTTAGTTCTCCTGCCCCCCTTACCTTTATGTTCGTCAACAATGGTGAGCATTCACTTTGCTTCTTTTTGGTGCGAACCTCTAATATTCAAACTTTTTTCTTCATTTGCCTATCTTTAACGAGTAATCAAATTAATTTCCTATAAGAAAATCCCATCTGACTGGTCTCAGTCGCTAATTGTCCCAATCTACAAGAAAGGACAAAAGTCCTCTTGTGAAAATCACAGGGGAATAAGTCTGACTAATATAGTTTCTAAATTGTTAGCCTCGATTATACTTAGATGTCTAACTAGAGCTCGTGAAGAGCAGACTCGAGAAAACCAGTCTGGTTTCGACCTGGACGTATCTGTGTAGACCACATCTTCACACTACGACAGGTCCTGGAACACAGACACACATTTAGACGTCCGACAATAGTTGTTTTCCTGGACCTTAAGGCGGCATTTGACTCTGTTGATCGTAAGGTTCTGTGGCAGTGTCTGTCATTGAAAGGTGTACCAAAGAAGTACATTGACCTTATACAAGCACTCTACTCGAACACTGCTGGTCGAGTGAGAGATTATGGCGAACTGTGACCGGAATCCCCTACATCAAGTGGTGTCCGTCAGGGATGTCCACTCTCTCCATTCTTGTTTAATTTTATCATAGACATGCTCCTAGAAATAACCTTATCCTCGTCTGAATTTTCAGGAGTAGACATGCTACCAGGTGGCTCGCTTATTGACTTAGAATATGCCGATGACATTGTCCTACTTGGTGAAGACGCTGACAAAATGCAGAGTCTTCTGACTACCATAAGCAACAATGCAAGCATGTTCGGGATGCGGTTTTCCCCCTCGAAATGCAAAATGTTGCTTCAAGACAGGGTTGCATTGGCACCTGAACTAGTGATAGGGAGTGAAGTAGTCGAGCGTGTTGATCACTTCACTTATCTTGGGAGTCTCATCAGCGCTGATAGCCTGGTGACTGACGAAATCTCAGCTCGGATACAGAAAGCTCGATTGGCTTTTGCCAACCTGCGTCACTTATGGCGTAGGCGAGATATCCGTTTGCTGACCAAAGGACGAGTGTACTGCGCAACAGTTCGCTCCGTTCTCCTATATGAATGCGAAACATGGCCGTTAAGAGTAGAAGATGTTCGTAGGTTACTAGTATTCGATCATAGATGTTTAAGAAGCATTGCTCGTAAATCGTGGGACAACTGAGTAAGCAATGCTGTCGTTAGGAAAAGGGTGCTATGCAAGGATGGCAGATCAATAGAAGAATTGTTGAAACTTCATCAGTTGAGGTGGTTGGGACATGTGTTACGTATGGCTAACCACCGACTGCCTCGATGAGCTATGTTTTGTGGTGTAGGAGTAGGTTGAAAGAAAGTTAGGGGCGGCCAGATCAAAACATGGCAGAAATTCGTGAAGTCACTGACAAGTGGATTGAGTCATGTAGGTCAATGTAGGCTACATTGTTGTGGTCCGCGAGAAGAAAGTCACCAACGGTTAGAGACGTTGAACGACATGTCTCAAAATCGTTTGCAATGGGGCAATTGCATCCATTCGTTGTGCTTTCTCAAATCCTAATATTCTGGAATCGTCAGCACCTTCACCTTTATCTTTCTAACCTTATCTCACTGAATTATACTTCTTGAATTATATCTTCAAACCCTAGTCTTCTTCATTACCATTAATATCTCTACTATCTTTATCACTATGGGATTTGATTTGGCATTTGCGTCTCTGTGTTAATAATGTGGTATGGCAACCTGAACTTATGTACACACGTACTAAGTTCTACGTAGCAACTGACCATTATAGTGTAGAAGAATTTCATCACGAAAAGATTTATATACTTCTATCTATATCAACAAAATCAGGATTTAAGACCATTGAAATTCTGCCTTGATTTTATTATATGTGCTTTAGGATTCTGAACATGCATTTCTGTTTTTATCTTAAAACTTATCAGCCTAGATACTCTCCACATTCCAATGTTGTGATGTACAGATTGAGACTTGAGACGATTATCGATAAATTTTAAAGCCAACTTATTATCCACTTATCTACCGCAACAGATCTAACTGATAGAATCAAGTAGATAGTTTTCTTTGTAGAACTCTTAGTGACTGTTGTGACTATGTTTGTCTTTTATTCAGTTACTTTATCAGGTACACTCTTATAAGATGGTCAGTGTTATTGAGTATGTATTTGTTGGGGATGTTAGATCCCCAGAACTCGCTTTGGATTTATTTCATGGACCGATCAGTTGGCCTTGAGACCACATTTCCCACCAGAAAAATCCTTGGCCGTGACTGGTTACTGTGTCATTTTAGTGTGCTATTTTTGTGATTGTCCCAAGGACGTCTCTATAGAGTATAAATAAACGCAATTTGAGTGGTTGGATTCATTGTGTGCTGGCTGGGTGTTTGTAGAATACAATTTCTACACTATATCAAGACTTCTTGTTGATTCGATTTGGTCAAGGGATCACAGTAGCCTACCTGGACGTTGGTTCAGGGATCGAAGATGTGTTTCGAGAAGTATAATCCAGTGAAATCAGTTTCAAAAGACAAAAAACGTCTGTCATGAGGAATTCAAAAGATTGGAATTTTAGAGAACACAAAGAGTGAATGCACCTGCGCCATCACAAACGATTCTGAGCTATGTCGTTCAAGGTCTCAAACCATCGTTTACTTCCGTATCGCCGCCTCCAACCAAGGTAGCCGACATCTACCAACATGACTCAGTCAACTTGTCAGTGACTTCTTGGATTTGTGCTATTTTTTGGTCTGGCCGTCCCTAACTTTCTTCCAACCTACTCCTACATCACAAAACAACGCTCGCCGAGACAGTCAGTGATTGGGCATACGCAACAAATGTCCCAACCACCTCCACTGATGAAGATTCACCACTTCAATCATTGATTCGCCATACTTATCTAATACCATTTTCCTAAAAACGGCATTGCTCACTCGATTGTCCCAGAGTATACTACCAATGCTTTGGAGACATCTATGATCGAATACTAGTAACCTGCGAATGTCCTCTATTCTCAATTGTCATGTTTCACACTAAGAATAGAGGGTATATGTAGGTTACTAGCATTGGATCATAATATTATTGAACGTTTGAAGAATCCACCTGGAGGCCCCTCAGGTGCTACTGCCGGTCCCAACCTCAGATAAACGAGGAAGGAAGGTTGGTCTTGGGGGTTTGTCGACCACATCCCCGTAGAAAACTAACTCACTGCAAAAAAAACACTAACAGGAAAAAAATAATTCGAAAAATTTAAACTCAACTCTTTGTGTTCTCTCAAATCCTAATCTTCTGGATTCTTCAACCCATCCAGTTTTGTCTTTCTAAACTTATCTCACTGAATCATACTTCTAATCCTAACCTCTCCGATTACTTCTAATACCTTTACTACCTCTACTACTGTTGGATTTGAATTGACAATTACATCTCTGTGCTAATGTGGTATGGCGACATGAACTGATGTACTTACGTACAAAGTTCTACGTTCCATCTGACTGACTGACTGACTGAAACT